CTGCATAAGGTGAGTAACTTCCTCATCCAAGACTGACTATTTCCAGTCTTGGACCAAGGTAATTTGCAGTCCCTGTGTCTGATCCTCTTCTTACACTGTTGTAAATGATGAGTGACTCCCTTAAAGTTAGTGGAGATACAGTGTAGTAGAACTGGTACTGAGAAGAATCTGGCTCTCAGTGTTTACCTGATCCATACTTAGGAAGAAAACTGAGAAAACACTTATGTTTCTATTCTTACTTTTAACAGCAGCTAACAGAAAGCTGCTCAGAGGATTGGAATGTTCACAGTAGTCCCACTGGAGATGGATTAGAAGGAAATTGAGGAAGCCAAAAGTGCTAAACAGATAGAATAACCGTGTAACTATGGAATAAAAACTATGGTTGTAGATACAAAGGATTTATTCTTTGGTTATTATAAACCACATATGCAGTGTAAATCTCTATATAGAGCTCTTTCTAAAACTGTACTAGAAGGCCCTAACTGATGGCTTCTGCAGATCAGTTTAAATTGTTTCTATTAAAGAGCTGCATAGATTACACATGGGTACTCCATCTTTAAAAATAAATCTCCCACTCTTACTGGAGCCACTACTTTTGCAAGCAACAAAAACAATTTTTTTCACTCCACTCATACATTTCCTGTTTTTTTAAAAGTAAATATAAGGTGCTTCTTAAAAGGGGGAAGTACCATTCCAAAGTGTGAAATCTGCCTTGGGTGTGTGTGTGCGCGCACGCGCGTTGAGGGGGAGAATAGAGGAGCAATACCATGCCCATTGTATTATGTAGGTGGGTAGAGCTGTTGGGGAAGGCCATGGACGGAGAGGATACATAGTAAGGACCCTGGAAAAATGGGCAAAACAATGTGTTTTTCCCTAATCTCATTCTTGAAGAGGGTTGAACTATTTTTGCTGAAACTTTCCCAAAATGCTCATACTGAGGCAGACATGCAGCCTGGGAAATTTCAGCCTGAACAGTTAAAATTTGGCAAATTTATAAGCAACTGAAAACAGTGTTACAATGGGAAGCGTTGAGCTACCTTAACCCGCCATGATAATTGTTCTTTTGTTTGTTTTTTAAATAAATGTAGGTGTTTCTTAAGAGGGGCACACTCTTTATTCCAAAGGGTGAAATCCACCTTTGGGGGAATAGAGGGAAAATATCTATATTTGCTTAATATAAAACAAGACAAAACTGATGGGTACAGAAAATATTTTTATTATTTAAGAGGATATTGCAAACAGTGGAGACTAAAAATCAAATTAATCAATATCCTTTTTAAGGAACACTATGAAGATGTAAAGTTTGGGGGTTTTTTAGGTAGGATAACAATATCCTTCTCTGCAGTGGACTATTCACTGTCTACATTGATTAAACTGGATCCATTCTTTGGGGAATTTCATCTGTGCTGCTGCCTTTACTTTGCAGCTTTTCTGGATCGTTCTCTCGACTTAGGGCTTCCGCCCCCCAGTTTTATTCCTGTGACAGAAGAAGAAGAAAAATTTCAGATGAATGAGCTTTGTGAATCTAAGCTTTTTAGCCATGAGAAAGTTAAGAAATCTCAGTATATGGAGAAAGTTAACATCAAATGAAACACTTTTTAAAAAAATTGATATTAGGACGTGTCTAATTTTTGTGAACACTTATTTTTAAGACCCTTTTACAGAATGATCAGCTCTATGTGGTGGCCTGGTGGGATCAGTCATAGTAAAAAAAAAAAAAAAAGTCCTAGATTTAAAAAAATAGTTAAAAGTGCAGCATCGGTGGTCCTCAATTAGAAATACATATACAAGCTTACATCTCACCTCTGTACCCTAGATGGCTTAGTAAACACAACCATATTATACTGAAACAAACATTAAATGTGAATTTACATGTGAATTGATAAGATTTTTGCCAAGCAGTATATGAGCTCAAGAGTAGCAAGTAAAGGAACATATATAGTAGAATCTAAGAGTTACAAATTGACCAGTCAACCACATACTTCATTTGGAACCAGAAGTATGCAACGAGGCAGCAGCAGAGACCAAAAAACAAAACAAAAACAAAAAAAAGATAAAACAGTGCAGTACTGTGTTAAACGTAAACTACTAAAAAAAAATAAAGGGAAAGTTAAAAAAAGATTTGACAAGATAAGGAAACTTTCTGTGCTTATTTCATATAAATTGAGATGGTTAAAAGTAGCATTTTTCTTTTATATAATAAAGTTTCAAAGTTATATTAAGTCAATGTTCAGTTGTAAACTTTTGAAAAAACAACCATAATGTTTTGTTCAGAATTACGAACAACCTCCATTCCCGAGGTATTCATAACTCTGAGGTTCTACTGTAGCGGCAAGTCTGATAATCTCTACACTCTGCACTTAAATGAAGCTGTTTTACAAGGCCCAGCCCTACTGTCTCTAAGGCATTGTCTACACATGAAATAGCCCCAATTTAGCTGTGTCTGTAGCTGCACCAGTGAGTTGACTCCTAAGTGTAGGCAAGGGCAAGCCAGCCTTAGGATGGATTGAGCTAATCATGGTTTATATGGCCCCTGATTAGCACAATGGGTACAAACTCGAGCTTGCCCTTGTATGCATATAAGGGTCAACACCCCTGTATCTACACAGTTTGTTGAATCAGGGCAATTCCCGAGTATAGAAAAAGACCTAATAAGTTCCTGGTTTTTCAGCCAAATAAAGACCTACTTGGTTCACTGACCTACTTTGTTCACTTAAAAGTTTCTCAAGAGAGACAGACAATTAAGGCAACTAAGTAGTCACAGGGAGAAAAATAAAGTTCTGTCATGGATTAGAAACTAAGAAATGGTAAATTCTCAACATGAAAGTAGGTTAATAGTGGGATAACTACAAGGATCCATATTGGGATGAATAGTGTTGAATATATTTATTTATAATCTGGAAAAGGGAATAGACAATGAAGTTCAACAATTGCAGATGACAATTATTTAGGTTAGTCAAAACAAGGACGGAATCAGGAACTTTAGAGGGATCCAATAAAGTCAGTCAACTGGGCAACACTGTGGCAGAAAAATTGAGCATCGATAAGTGCAAGAGAATGCACAGTGGAAAATGGCCAGGCCAAATTTCAAAGTACTCCCACACACAAGTGACCCTTTTTGATACAGGGGAAAAAAAATCTAATTTTGGAAAAGAGGGCTTGAATATTTATTCTAAAGCCAATGCTCACTAAGTCTCTTCCTAAAATCCCTCAATTCCTCAGGCTACTTATTCAAACAAGGTTTATAATGCAAAATAAACACCCAGGTTCTGCAACAATCCTTTGGGGAGTCCAAAGTACTGGTCTCCTACCAGCAACAACCTTCCTAGGAGACTACCTGCCTTTGATGTGCTTTTGAGAACTAGGTGTAGTTGTTTTTGCCTCCTTTCCTTGACTGCCCTTTCCTCTGGATCCTATATTTCTACCTCCCAGAGAAGTATTGCCTCCTTTCATTAGGGAAGCTGGGATGTGGTGTAATATGACCACAGAGCGCCCCCCACCCCCTTTTGGGTGCTGAAGAGTCTATAATACCCTCACAGAAAGGAACAATTTGTATTACTCTCGCACATTGCTGGATTATAAATTAATTGTAGTTGTTCAGGAAGAGATCTGTACTCACTTTGGACTGCTCAATGAAAATAGCTCATTGACCAGTTGTCAAAAATGCAGAAGGATATTAGGATGTATTAAAAAGGAGAGAAAATACATACAATACCAGTATACTATTTTCAGTAAGTCAATAGCACATCGTCATCTTGAATACCCTGTTCAGTTCTGGGTATACATGCAATGTTATTTTAAAGACGAGGTGTCACCGTGCCTCAGTGGATCACAGCTGAGGATGCCAGATTCAGGACAAACTGCTGAGAAATAGGGCAGACTTACCCCAAACTGGTGGTTGTTAGCAAAAGTAAACTTCTGGCTCACCACACTGCTTAACAAGAAGTCAAAAATGCAGTCACCTTAGGCATTTCACCACCCAGACACTAGACTTAATTATGAGTGGTTATTGACAACCAGTTTAATCAAACAAAAGGTTCTTCTGATCCCAAGAAATCAGCCACAAAATCAGGTTAGTATATAACTCAGACCTTACCCAATAATCACGCTGCTGTCTATCCTTTAGTAACTAAAATCTAACGGTTTATTTATAAGAGAAAAGAAAGAGAATTACAATGGTTAAGGAAATCACATGCATGCAAGTGATTGCACAGTTCTTATACCAGGTTTGAAGCAATGATGGAATAAACTGCTAGTTTGAAGAAGTCTCTCTGGAAATTATCCAAACAGCGTGGGGGTCATCAGTCCTTGTTTAGAGCTGCCTTGTTAGAAATCCTGTCCAAAGAAGTGAAGCAGGAAATGAAGACAAAATGGAGATGTTTCCAGGGTCTTTATACCCTGTCCCATGTCGATGAAATTTTACTGTCCCAAACAAAGCCCACAGCACAGTTTGTGGAAAAGTACAGGCACAAGATGGAGTCCAGGGTCACATGCCCTTACATGGCTTTGACTCACAGGAACAGCCATTGCTCACTTGGAGACTAAGGCATCCATAGGAAGGCCTGTATACACTAGCACTTATGTTGGCAAAATTTTTGTCGCTCAGGGGTGTGAAAAAACCCACCCCCCTGAGTGACATAAGTTTTGGCGGCATAACCGCTCGTGTACACAGCACTATATCGGTGGGAGAGCGTGTCCCACCAACATAGCTACCACCCCTTGTGACCCACTAACTTCAGTAAAACCACATGCAGATGTGAGGGTATCTTGTTATCTTGTCTTCTGTGCAATATGAATTCATATTTTCGGCCAAATTCTGCTTTCAATAACAGAAGTATAAATCAGAGTGAACTTATGGGTACACCTTTGTAACAGAGCAAAATATGAGCCTTCATTTTATATTAAAAAGTTAGCAGGAATTTAGTAATCATAAGGACCACAGGCTGTGCTATTATTTTCTCAAAAAATGCTCTTCCAACTTATTTTCTTTCCTCCTTCAGTTTCCAGCAATCTGCTGGTAGATTCTTTGGAAGGAGAAGATTTTGAGAAAGAGCTGTCATTCCTGGATAACATATTGAGTCCCTGTTCAAGTGCTGGAGAGATCGTCCAGGAATGTCAAAACGTGCTTGGGAGTCCTCATACCAGTCTCCTTTCACAGAATCCTGCTACAGAGTCAGAACCTCTGCCTAGTTCATCTGGATTCCTACCTTCACAGCTCCTTGACCTTGGCCTTGATGCTGCTGGAAGCTTCAGTAGTAAGCATCTGAATTACTCCGACTATAGATAGCTTTTTTATGTTTGTACAAAAGGCCAGGTGCTGCTTCCATTTGACAATAATGGCAAAATTTCCATAGAAGGATTGAGTGCAAAGGTATTAGGGACTAAAAAGAATTGTCTTGCAGTAATGATATTGCAGTAGAGGTTGGGCAAGTACTGCCGTGATGAAGCTCAGAATATTAACTAATCCAGCCAGGAAATCTGTAAATTATCACCCTTTCCAATAACAAAGTTTTGCTTCTTTCCAAAAATAGCGTGCTTACCTTCTGGCAATTTATAGACATAACCAAAATCTATTAATTCAGATTTGGAAACACGTAGCTCTGCAATTTATTAAATTAGGTCTTGATCTTCCAACCTTATGTGAGTAGCCCTCATGATGTCAATGGGACCGCTTGCATGAATAAGGATTATTTATGTGGGTAAGACTTGCACAGGTCCTGAATTTGTCATGTATACAATAGTGCTTTTGAAACCACAAAATATGAGCAAAATCTGCTAACTTGATGGCACATGTTGAGAAAATCTCCACTGTCCTTATTTTTGGTGATAACACATTCTATCCATAAAATACACACTGTTTAGACATTTATATTTTCTGGCTTTTATTTTTAGCCCTTTATAATATAGTAAAAAAGTCAGATACAGACTTTGAACTGCACTGCTGAATCTGAGTTACCCTAGAATTTCCAATTTCTTCTAGAAAATTCAAAGAAAGTGTTGGGGCAAATTCTGTTTCCAGTTACACAAGCCTAAATCCAGATTACCTTCAGTTTATCTTGGTTTACACTTGTGTAACCAAGAACAGAAATAGCAGGATTTTATATACTTTGTGAATATTAAGTATCACATTGTAGCATGTTTGCAACTGTGGGACACCCAGAACTATCCTAAAGAGTGGGAGGGGGTTACTGTTGATACATTAAACATTTTGTAGGTGGTTAATATTTCCTTAGGCTATCCAAAGCAAAACGTCTGAATCCTATCAGCATTAGTGCAAGTTCATAGTTAATTGCATTTACCATAAAATAATCAGTGTTCTACGTGGGATCTATATGTTGCACTCAGATGATGTTTTACAATATCTTGGGTATGTGGTTGTTACTCGGTAATCCATTACTTTTTCCTCTAAGGCTGGACATCTGTGTGGTCTCTTATGTACTCACTGCCTGGTAACCAGCCATTCCCTTCACACAGCACTCCAAAGATACCACCACCGTGTAAGTTATTTCTATATCTTTGCAGCAGCAAGGTTTCTTCATAAGCACTGTTTCATACCTAACATTTTGGCTTATTATTCCAAACAGAATACTTTGCTGGTGAGAGACAAGATAACTCTGAAAGTAGTGATATGTTTGTCCACATCTCTCAGCACTGAACAGTTAAAATAGAAACAGGAAAATTACTTTAGCACATGGATCTGTGAATACTATCCTTCTGTATTTTATTTCAAGGCTGGATGCTAGTATCTTCCAGCAAAGACTGTGGCATCATATCAATACCAGCTCATATATATTAGCACGAGTAACTACTGTAAACACTTACAAAATGGGATTGGAATTTGGGGGTCTGACTTGTAAAACAGATACTGTACCCTTATGGTCATATTTTCAGTAGTTTACTGGGTATATCAACCAGTGTCTTGCTGTCAGCAGATGTAAAGTCCAAAGTAACTTGGAGAGGTGAGAGTTTATACAGCAACTGCAGTGCATGTGCCGGTGTATAACAAACACTTCTCAATTTCATGTGTCTGCATGTTTTGCTTGGTCTAGAGAATTCACATGCTGTAGACAGTGAGGATTTAATCCAGCCAGAGAGCAAGAAGGGAGCTTTCTTCAATAGGGACGATATAATTTTTACTACTGTTTTATTTGAAATTAATGCTTACATAACCAGCATTTATCTTTTAAAAATGAAGTTATAAATAGATTATATATAATGATGTTCCAGTGTTTCACTAGGTTTATAAAACCCACAGAGTTTTTTTTTTTTTAATCAAAAAACTTCCATGTTGCATTTATATGCAAATGAAATGTGCCTTTCACTGTAATACAATTTGAGAGGGAACTAGATTCTACTACTCAATGTGCATCAGCAAGACTGCTTACTAAAGGTATGTCTTCACTGCAGAGTTAACTCAGGTGGCAGCCAAGTGTGAGCACCTGGTTGGCCTACCCCAGATCTTAGTGGCCACACTGCAAAGCCCTACCCAACTATGTCCACTTGACTGTGTGCACATTGGTGCTGTACTCACTGAGGTGAGGGGCTAGGACTTCTGGAAGCATATCCCATGGTTTCATGCTTCACTAAACTGAGCTCCTCTATGATTTTTTCCCAGTGAATTGTTGGAAAACTTGTCTGTCCTTCTGAGCACATGGAGGGAAAAGTGGGAATGCATTCTCACTGTCTTGGTACCTGTGATGTCATTATTCTACTGGTTCTCCAAATGCCCATGATGTCTTCCAAGAAAAACAGGGTAGAAAAGACCTGAATTTCTCATGTAAAAAATAAGTAGGGAGAAAAAACAAAAACTTATTTTAGAAAAAAGTCAGACCTTCTTTGTGCCTCAGAAGATGCCCAAAATGGCACAAATCTATTTTCTTTCCCCTACTCTCAACATCCAAATGAGCTAATCAGATACTATAGTGATGGGCAGCAGGACAGAGCACTAAGAAGCACTTGGCATAGGGACAAAACTATAATTTTTTTTATATTTCAAGAGGAAAAACAAACACAAACAACCAACTATAGTATTTGACATTTGCCACAGTGACACACTCCAGTAATGTACTGCATATGCCTAAGGGGCAGAGAAGAGGTTGGAGTGGATTTTGTGTCTACATTTTCATCGTTGCATTATGAACTGTTTTTTGGGGGGATACTAATGGAGGTTTCGGTTTCAGTAACACTTCAAACCATTTTACAGTGCATTTATTTAAAATTAGCTTGCATGCACCCTGTGGAATAGTAGATAAGCTAATCATTTATCTTCATTATCTTAATAAGCCGTTCTGAAGTGCTAATGGAGTTAATAATTTAGTCCAGTATTTATGGTCTTTGATTAAAGAGAACATATAGCAATTATCCAATTCATTTTACTAAATAAATGTGATACGGCCAACTTAAATATTTTATTACTTAAAAAGTCTGGTTGGGTCAAAGAGCAGTTCAACAAAGAATGTAATTTTATTTGATTTTTTTTCTAGCTATGGAGAGCAGTAATCAAGATATGTCAGCCTGGTTCAGTCTGTTTTCAGATTTGGATCCCCTTTCAAATCCAGATGCCATTGGGCGCTCAGACGATGAACTCCTCAATGCTTGACTACAGTTACCCAATGGACAAGCTCTTATTATGTCTCACTACAGCGGCCTTAAATATAGAACCTTACTTCCTCTTGCTTTTCTAGAGAGGATTTCAGATTCTAGTCCAGACCCACAACATCGAAACTGTAATCATAATGTCAGACAATAAAGTCCCAAACTATAGAAAAAGCATTAAGGGTGCTGTTGAGAGCATTAGAGAAAAGTCACTTTATCTTTGATGCCTTGGTTTTATGGCTATTTTCAATGTTATATGAAAATATGGCGAGTTGTTCAGGATCAACACTGAAAAGGCTGAGTTTCATCAAGACAAAATTACAAGACAAGCAAAGCTGTATCAAACTAGTTACTTTCCTGCATGTCCCTTTCCCCCCCCCCAAAAAAGAGTTACCTTACGTCAATGTGAAGATGTTAATTTCCAGAAAATACTTCAGGACAGATAGTACCTTGGCTCTTTCACAGGACCCTCATTAACCTTCAGGACAATTGCACATCTTGGGCCAGACCCTCTAATCTGGCCAATTTGTGCATGAGGCAGGACTAATGGGGAGGGAACAGAGGTGGTTTTACATTGTCTTTGACTTCCTGATCCTGGGGGAAGGCCTGGGCACGTTTGGCTCCCAGCACAACTTTGAACAGCTTCAGGGCTATTCTAAATTGCACTAAACTGCCTGTGGTTCCAAGTGCCAGAGCACAGGAGTACTCCAGTCACATCCACTTTTTACAGGCTATTCCCTCTCTGCTAGGCCGGGAAAGGCATAGAGCCAGTACACTAGCTGTGAGAGAGCTGGGGGGGATCCCTAGGTACCTGGTTAAACTGGCTTTACGGACACTTTGCAGGGACAGAGCAGCACAGAAGGCCTGTATCACGGGCAGGACACAGCCTATTCATTCAATTAGCCTTAGACAAGAAAGCACAGGCCAAATTCTGCCTTTGTTTGCAACTACAGGTACTTTAGAGGGGCTGCAGAGGTGGTAATAACAACTGAAGTTGGCTCACAGTAAATGCCATTAGAGTAGCAGTTATTCTAACAAGGAGCCATTTTATTCATCAGTTACAGAAGCTGTAAAACTATAAACCAGATAGAGCAGCAGCAGAATTACCCAGCTACTCCTCTGTAAAAATAGAATTTTTCTTTTCATTGTATTGTTAAATAGATGAAGTATTTTGTTAAAAAGGGAACAAGTAGAGCTCACCTGTACATTTTGATCCTTTGGTGAGTGGGAGAGATTTAACACCTCATTACATGATCACTTGCAGCATGTTGGACAACTCACTCCCCCACATATACGGTAACTTTTTCTAATTTTTTTATTTTGAATTATAAGTTAAATCTTGTTGGGCAAGTTTGTATCTTTTTACCTTCATGCTGTTTGCATGCTCTTCAGGTTGCTGGGAGCTGTTTACTGTGATTCAACAAGTTTCTTAAAGAGGAATGTTAATGGATTGGCAGAATTATGGTATGATGTAAATCTTGTTGTAATTAGGTGAGTGGATGATGTGTGATTCAGGTGCATGAGTGTACCTGCCCCCATCCCAGTTTGGTGGTGGTAGGTCATAACTAAAGCCAGGCACCTGGTGTGTGGTCAGATTATCCCCAGTCAGATGAGGATAATTAAGACATAACCCTCAAGTCCCCCGAGACTCTCTGCAAGCCACAATGGAGGCCATAGTTTTCTTCTCACTGCAAGACAAGGGCTTCCTGGTACCTGTGTGACTGACACCCCCCAAATTCTAGCAAATCATGCTACTCTCAGCTCTGGATCACAGACACAGCAATGAGGTTGCTGCGGGGGATAGAAGAAACCTCTCTACAAGCCCATTTAGACACTCACTGATGCAGCATGGAAATCTACACTGTATTGCTAAACAGAAATGTCATTCGGACATAAAATATGAAGAAAAGTGAAACCAAAAATTGGTCACACGTTATTTGAAAATGAACACTGATATGTAGGAATTAATGAGATTCCATGTTAGTGCTTGGCAGGATAAGCAGAAACTTTAGACTGGAGCACCATTTTGCTTGCAGCAGTTAGTTTTCAGGCTAATATTGAAATACTTCATATAAGCAACTACACCAAGAGGGATGCAAAAAGTGTTATCCATTACAGACGTGCTTCTGTATCAAAACAAGTCCAAGAGTCTTTGATCTGTGGCAAGGTGCTGGGTTAGCGCTGGGGACCTTTTCTGATGCACATGCTTTTGCTGCACACCAAGGTCCTGTCTACACTAAAGGGAAAAGTCGATCTAAGCTACGCAATTTGAGTTACGTGAATAGCGTAACTCAAATCGACATAGCTTAGATCTACTTATCACGGGGTCCACACTATGTGGTGTTGATGGGAGACGCTCTCCCGTCGACTCCCCTTACTCTTCTCAATCAGGTGGAGTACAGGAGTTGATAGGAGAGCTATTGGCGGTTCATTTAGCGGGTCTTCATGAGACCCGCTAAATCAACTGCCGATGCATTGATCGCCGCAGCATTGATCCTCTGGTAAGTGTGGACAGGCGCTTAGAGACAAGAATTTACATACCCCTGTATGCAGAAGAGTTTTGTATTAACATTGTTAGGGGCCTGCCTAGTTCTTACTACACATTGCATTGGGGAAGGTCTAGAATAGTTCTACATAGACTCGTAGACTTTAAGGTCAGAAGGGACCATTATGATCTTCTAGTCTGACGTCCTGCACAACGCAGGCCACAGAATCTCACCCAGCCACTTCTGTAACAAACCCTGACCTATGTCTGAGCTACTGAAGTCCTCAACTTGTGGTTTAAAGACTTCAAGGTGCAGAGAATCCTCCAGCAAGTGACCCGTGCCCCGTGCTGCAGAGGAAGGGTCTCTGCCAATCAGCCCTGGAGGAAAATTCCTTCCTGACCCCAAATATGGTGATCAGCTAAATCCTGAGCATGTGGGCAAGACTCACCAGCCAGACACCCAGGAAAGAATTCTCTGTAGTAACTCAGATCCCACCCCATCTAACATCCCATCACAGGCCATTGGGCATATTTACCGCTAATTGTCAAAGATCAATTAATTGCCAAAATTAGGCTATCCCATCATACGATCCCTTCCATAAACTTATCAAGCTTAGTCTTGAAGCCAGATATGTCTTTTGCCTCCACTGCTCCCCTTGGAAGGCTGTTCCAGAACTTCACTCCTCTTATGGTTAGAAACCTTCATCTAATTTCAAATCTAAACTTCCTGATGGCCAGTTTATACATGATCAAGGTAGATCTGGTGACTACCTTTCTTCTATTCAAAATCGTCAAGGGATTTGGGGGCAGCAGGGAGGAGAAGGGAAGGCAAGTAGTATCCCAGTGGTAAACTCTCGTTGAAGTGCTGCTACGCTGCTTGGGGAACAAGAGCAAGGCGATACTGGGAACTGGGCGAAGTCTGAGCCAAGGGTTGATAGCTGGGAGTAGAAGGTTGTGGAACTAGGGCTTGGATGCTGCTAATGAATTGGGAGGTGATAAGGCTTACTTGTACATGGCAGTTCTACTGGGGGAGAGGGGAGGGGAACTGGAGAAAAGGTGTAGTGGTTATATATATGCAGATGGAATAAAATTTCCTCAGGAGTCTTGGGCAATACAGCATTCACCTGAATATTTCTTTCAACTGTTGAGGGAAATGGGCAATCAATGGATTCTCCAAAGGCCACTCTAGCTCCTATAATGTCTCCAGGAGTGATGGCTTCAGATAATATATAAAACTAATTGAAATTCTGGAAAGAGTAATTAAAATACAAAAATGAGGTTGGGGGAGGGGGTATTGTTCTTGTCACATGGCAAGAAAGCCCTTTCCCACTCCTCTATTAAGCAATAGGGGAAAGGCAAATCGGTCTCTGAGTTGTCGGGGGAAATTTGGGGGGGGGGGTGGGGGAAGAAAACGAACAGACAGTAATGTAAATTTTCTTATCCAATAATTTCCTTTCTGCTAGCAGCATCTCCCACAGTTCTGTTACATCTGACATCAAAATTGTGCCCCAGTTTCTCAGTTAGATGCAGTAGCCTTGGGCGGAATGAGGGAAAGATAATGTCCTGGGAGACAAGGAAAGGGGAGTTCACTTTGGGGAGAAATGTCTGTGGCGTTCTCAGCACCACCTTATCATGGAACGTGCAGTAAGTTTCCTGCATAAATAAGGCTGCCACCTGGTATACTCACCTAGCAGACCTACTGACAACCAACAAACAGGTTTTGATGGAGAGATGGAATGCTGATACTGAAGTCAGAGGGTTGAAGTGGTGAGCTATTAGGGCTTTCAACACCAGTGGTATGTCCCATTTTGGGAAGACTGACCTGACCACCAGTTTGGCCAATTTCACTACTCTTGAACCTGGATACTTGGGGGTTCTTTGCCAAGGAACACAAGGATCCTGCTACTAGAATGCTACTAACAGTGGATACCTGGCTGAAGATCTTTGTCCATGCCTTCTTGGTGGAAGTCTGAAATAGCTGCACCTTACTGCAGTGTGCTCCTGGCACCAGACACTGACCTTGGCCCAGATGGAGGAGTAGGCTTCTAGTACAGAGACTCTCCTGGATGAGAGCAAAATGTTTTATGACTGGAATGGAGGCAGTGTGTTGCTAACACTTCTTTTTCAATAGCCAGGCTGATAGTTGCCATTGGTCTGGAAGGAAAAGAGGACCCTGGAAAAGAATGTCTGGTCTCACTAGTAGCTGTAATGTTGGTTCCAGTTTCAGCTCTCTTGGGTCAGAAAACCAGGGTTTCCTTGACCAGTGCGGGATTATCACTATAATCACTGCTTGTTCCCACTTTGTCTGGATACTTTCCCTAGCAAAGGGAAGGATAGGTATGTGTATAGCAGGCCTTAGGGCCATGTGTGTGACAGGGCATCTGTTTTCCTGGTGTAGTTCTTTGGACTTTTTGCATTCCTTTCTATTTGCTAACAGGTCGGCTGACAGCAGACTGAACCTATGCGAGATCAGGTTGAAAACTTCCTGGTTCAGAAATTATTCCAAGTTTTTGACTTTCCATCTGCTCAGCCAATCCACTTTCTGGTTCAGCTCTCCTTTTATGTGAAGTACTCTTAAGGAAGAAAGAGACTGTTCTGCACATCTGATTATGTCCATTGCTTCTACATGTAGCATCAGGCTCCTTGTCCCTCCTTGGTTGCTTATGTATGTGACGCTGGTCATGTTGTCAGACTGAACTAAGATGTGATTTCCCTCTAGGTGGCTCTGATCTCCTGGCATTGAGAGCTGTTAAACTGGCCCTATGGAGGATCAGAGCCATGGGAAGGAGGAACACAGCATCAGATTCCTTGTGGTGTTTCAGGTCCCCAACCTGTCAGCTGGTATTGCTTTCGAGAAGCAGAGGATCTGGAAGGTCTATAGGGAGGTCCTTGTGGACATACTCTAGGACTGTGCACCATCTTAAGGAGCAGAGCACCTGATTTGGGACCAGCACCTGATCTGTCATGCACTTGGGTAGTGGTCCCATATTTTGAGCAGGCAAGCCTGGACACATCCGAGATGTGATCTTGTTGATGGAGTGATCCCCATGCATGATGCCAGGAGGCCCAGTAACTGAAGACACCGAGCTATGATATCATGCACTTGCGCAATATGGATAAGAGATTCTGGATCTTCTGGAACCTGTCAAGTGATGGGTAGATCACCACCACGGTGCCCATGTCCACTCCCAGGTGAGTGATCCATGTTGAAGGAATCAAGGAACTTTTTTGATGTTTATTACCAGGCCACACGCTTGTAGTAGATCCAGAATCTGAGTCATGGTGCTGTGCACTGAAGCCTGGATTGAGGCTCTGATTAGAATGATGTCCAGGAAGGGGTATAGGTGAGTGTACATGATGTGAACCTGGCTATGGTCACCACTAGCATCTTTGTAAAGACACTAGGGGCCAAGTAGAGACTGAAAGTGAGCTTTTGGTACTGTCAGTGATATGTGCCATAAGCAAATCTCAGAAGCCTGCAATTACATGGATGTATGGGAATTTGGAAACAAGCATCTGCCAAATCCACTAAGGTCAGGAGGTTTCTTTGAGACAGGAAAGACACCGTAGAAGTAGAGTCTCCATCCAACATTTTGTTTCCCTCATTCACTTAAGCCTCTTGAGATCAAGGATGGCTCTGACCCTTCCACCCCCCTGGTGGGTTTCTGGATGATAAGTAGAAGAACTCTGAGAACCTCTCTTCTGAGGGAACTTCGTTCTATCGCTCCTATGTTCAGGAGATGAGAGATCTTGTTCCAGACCAGTTTGCATTTGGTAGAGTTGCTGAGATGGGAGACTGGATGAAGAAGGGATAAAGTGGAGCCTGTATCTCCAGGGAGTAACCCTGACTCACTGTTTCTGTTACTGGCTTGTCTGTGGTTGATGCAGACCATTCCTCTGAGAAATGGGTGATTTTGCCTCCTCTGTTCAGATCTGGGTAGAGGCA